ATGTTAAAAACCCAGACTCAACTGCTATTCCAATTCAGTGAGTGGCATTAATTACCGCTAAAATCTCCTAAACACCATGTTAAAGTACTGCTGAGCTCTAACGTAAGTGCGCCATTTCATTCCAACAGTAGAAACACACTTGGGCCACCACGGTAGGCCTAGAGGGATTCAGTCAGTTGGAATATTCCACTTCCTTGGCTGTTTAAAAAATGGTCACGTGGGTCGGGTATTTAGCTCAGTGGTTCTGCTGCCTGCCTTGCAAGCACAAGGACCCGAGTTCAATCCCCAGTACCAAAAGAAAGAAAAGAAAAGAAAATAAAAGGTCGGGGATTTAGCTCAATGGTTCTGCTGCCAGCCTTGCAAGTGCAAAGACCTGAGTTCGATCCCTGGTACCAAATAAATAAATAAATAAACAAAGGGTCATGTGATCTCAACAGTTTCATTAGCATGAACCATACATTTTTGGTTTGAAATATTGGGACAGATGCATTTTCTTTATGCACGAACCAAGAGGCAAGACCTACTTTTTTTATCCAGGTAGACATCCTATCACAGAAATTCAGGCTTAAAATAATGACAAGAAAGGAGAATGATATTTTAAATTCATTATTAAATAATAATTAAATGGTTTCTTGATAATTACAGAATCCCTGGACTAACTATCCAAACCATGCCCTAGCCTCTGCCTTCTACTTACCTGAGCCAATATATCCCTTTATGGTTTAAAGTCAATTCGAGTTGAATTTTCTGTTACTTGCAGTATAATTTATGAAGAATAAAGTTAAATATAAAACCAGATGTAACAATATTATAAAACAAAAAGGAAGTAAAAAATATAATCCAAGACAAACAGGCTTCTAAAAAGCAAAGAACATAAAATACAAATACAGAAAAACAAACATCCAGAGAGATTGGCTTAACAACAGTTGGTGCTGGCAGAATAATGGTAAAATTAGCTTCCCAAATGTTAAGACTGCAAAAATGGAATGAGCGCCACTATACATAAGGCCAGTGTGAGAGGCCCCACAGGACTGCTCTAAACTAGGAAGCAGGCAGACAAAGGTAGTCAAAGTAGCTAAGACTTTCATATTTTGAATTTAAGTCTTCAGACTGTTAAAACTCTGGGGTGTTCTACATAACTGTAGGACATTCCATTAGCTCCAATAAATCTAATCAGATTCACATGTCTATGCCTTCTCTGCTATATTCATTCTGACCCAGGAAAGAGTATTCATCCTCATTTAAATATTTATAACCAAGATGGAAACAGCACCAGTTTCGAAAGCTTGATGCATCGCTGAGCCACTTGCTCCATTTTTCTGTAAAAGGTTTGAACCCACCTGGAAATTTAGGGGGACAGAGAAGAAAACACAGCCGGAGAGAAGAAAATATTGCCGGCTGCTCAACTTGACAGGACTGAGACTTCTGCATAGGTGATTAGGTCATGGGCACAGTATGCATCAGTGTCTCAATCCTCTGGTGCTTGTAGCTGAATGTGTAGCTGGAGGACATGGGCCACGTGGGCTTTTGGAGGGCAGCTCGCCCTGGGTTCTTCCTTCCTGCTCTATTTCCTGGCTGCCTTGAGGTTAGCAGCTTTGTCCCACTGCACTCTTCCACCACCAAGTTCCTGCCTTGGAGCCTGCTGAACGTGGATGAAAACCTCCAAGGCTGTGACCTCATGTAAACATCACCTCCTTTCAGCTGTGGGTGTCACGTTTTGTCCCAGAAATGAGAAAGTTGACCAATTCAAGGAGCTTTAAATTTTGTGCTTTCAAATGCTGACAGGTCCACATGGCCTCTCTGTCCTTTCAAATCCCCCCAGATACAATCTTGAGTTGCTCTTTCCACTTTAACAATCCCAACTCAAAGGCAATCTGTCATTAGTTCCTATTCATTTAGGGTTGAAAATATGTCTGGAATTCATTCTTTTAATTTCCAAGGCCAATGCCCAAGGTCAGACCTTTACCTCTTATCTCAACTAATGCAACTGTCTCTTAACCAGTCTTGCTGTGTCTTATCTTTCTGCCTGTCCAACACATCACTCACAGTGCTACTGGAAAAGAATGACTGTGTTTTATTTATTCTTTGCATCCTTTCCCTTCTACTAGTCCTGACATTTAGTGGTACCACGGGTATTAGAAAAGTACAAAGAGCTTAGCCACAAGCAGAACATCCAGGTTGTGGATCACCATTCTCCTCCTCCGGGCCATTCATACAGAAAATGGAATCTACTAAAACAGTCTTTGGAATGCCATACCTTCCCTCTATATAATCACTTTTCTTTTGGCTGTACTTAAGAAACACCTACCAATCTTTCAAGATTCACCTAAAACATTTTCTCCACCATAAAATCTTTTTTTTTTTTTTTTTTTTTTTTAATACCAGGCATTGAACTTGGGACCTTGCACTTTCAAGGCAGGAGGCAGGATCACTGAGCTAAATCCCTGGCCCTTACCATGAAATCTTTTAAAATACTAAACCTACATTACATTTCTTCAACTATGCAGAGAACTTTCTTTTTCTTTCTTTTTTAAAATTTTTTTGCTATTTGTTTTGCTATCTCATCTTATACTAAATTAAATGTTTAATCTTTCTTTTTTGATACCAGGGATCAAACTCAGGTCCTTGTGCTTGTGAGGCAGGCAGCGGAAACAATGAGCTAAATTACTGACCATCTTTCCTAGCGGTGAGAAAAGTGTATCATATTTCAGAGGTTGTTTTTATCCTCTGTTATTTCTCCACAATACTCATTCTTGTATACTCTGTATTTAGCAAAGTAAACAGCACTCAATACATGCTCTGTAAATATTTCTTGAATAAATACATAACTTCCCCAGAGACTGAATGTTATTTGAGGATAGGAATTACACCATATTCGTATATATTTCTCACAGTGGCTAAAAAAAAAAAAAAAACGAGTAACATTAAGTGCTACAGCTTCAATAAAATATTATGTTTAGACTCTGGCCTCCTGTTACTGATTCTGGCTAAACCTAGAACAATTTGTCATTTTTTTCATTCCAAAAATATTTATTGAGTACCTTGTACATGCCAAAATTTGTTCCAGGAGCTGGAGACAGAATTTTAAATAAGACAAACCACACATATGGTGCAGTGGAGGAAACAGCTGTACAAGCTAATAAATCAATCCTTCCAAAAAGTTCTTCTTGACACCTAAACAGTATTCTCAAACAAGCTCATAACCAGAGAGTCATCAGTGGCTTCCCCCTATACCTTGCTTCAAAGGTTAGGTAACAAAATGTAAAATTACCCCCACTAGATGTGGAGGAGGGGAAGGAGGGAGATTACTGTATTTTCCTCCTCCTGTTTATTTAATTTTAGTGCTATCTCCCCAAAGCCCTCATTATGCTACTTTTGGAAACAACTGAAAGTACTTACTATTTTTTCCATTTTTGTGTTTTTCATCTGTAACATAACCTCTCAGAACTGACCTAATATTTATAGTTCTGTTCAAAGCCCTCAGTGGCTCTGTATCGCAGATACTGGGGAAAACACCGATCAGACATTTTGGCTTCATATTCAAGGATTCTTTCAAAATGTATTTCTAACACCTTTGCAGAATTATTCACATTGTTCTTCCTATAATTCCTATAATTCCAAGATTACCACCGAACTAGCTTTTGACTCTTATCTTTGGACTACTCTCTTGCTATTTTTTCATCCATTTTATTTAAATTCCACCTGTGTCTCAGCTGAATTCAAGAATCTGAAATCTGCCTCAAATGTTCCTTTTGCATAGGACAGTGCAATTTATGTTGTATTTTCCCCTCTAACGTTACCTGTTTGTACTTCATATTTTAGTTATTTAGTTTATACATTCAAAGTGTATATAATCATTCATTATATATTTTATTAAGCATTTACTGCCTTTCTATTTTCCTAACCCATGTAACCTATATCATATTCACAGCACAGTGAATGTTAAGTAAATTCTTGTTGAATGAAGGCAAACTCCCAGGCAAATTAAAAAGCATCTCAACTCAAAATAATCTTTTTCTAAATATTAACAATAATCACCAATGATGAGACGTATAGGAATTGTAGTAAATTCTTGCGTGTCATATTTAAATACGTATGAAAAGAAATGGGTAAATGTGTAGAAACAATATCAAATAAGAAAACTCATTCAAAGTAATATGGAAATATTGATTCATTCGTGCCCACTTCAATTCACATCATTTGAAAATACAAATTCATAAATATATTAGTTAAGCTTATCAACTAGAAACAATGTAGTGTTGGGGCTTGCTGAAATTAGAATCATAGAAAAATGGTTCCAACATACTACTCAATAATTCTATGAAATTTCATAAAAGTTTATGCAGTAACTTTTTCCCTTTCTTTCCTAAGGAAACAGCTTTAGAAGATGATTGATGCCTGCTATTATGAGTCTATATTTATATTCCTTATTTTAGAAGCTTTTCAAAAATACATTTAAAGCATTTCCAGTCATACTAAAAGGAAAGATCAAAGGTGATTATTTATAGGCAATCATCTTCATGATGATAGACTCTCAGAAAGCAAATGCAAACATAAATTTTAAGTGCCTTTTGGAAAGAGCTGAGAATAAAAACATTTGCATAATTTCTTAGAAATTCAAGCTTTTTATTACTGAACTTCAATAGTCCCTCCAGGCAAAGGTGCAGCTACTTCAAATAATTATTTGATAGTGGAAGGTTTGAGTTCTTTGTTTTCCCTCCCCAGTGTGGGTAGGCCTATAGTTTTCATTTTAACACAGTGTATTGGGTTTAAAATTTGAATTGGTTCACAACAGAAAATTTTTTTTAGAAAATGGTTCTATTTGGCAGATTAAACAAATAAGCCACTGACAGCAATAAATACATAGACATATATTATACAAATGTACTATATTGTTTGTTACCAAACAATCTATTTGCAATCAGTCATCTTTGATTAAGAACCCGCCACTCCATAATATAACTACTGACTGATATCCAATGTCTAAGACTTCTACTTACCTGCCTATCCACTTCTGGGAGCAAAAGAAGGAGGTACTGCTGGAAATGCTGAGGTAAGGAAGCAAATGTATGTTTATTTATCAATGCCCTCAAATTGGTGTTGACAAGAATAGATCCTGGGGTTTCTATGTCAATGTCCTCAGCTTTGGTCCATTTCAAGTGTCCTGTGATGAACAAGCAAGAGGTAGGAGTTTACTACAGATTGAGAAAAATACAAGTGCACACGTGAATATGCACATGAAAATTCATATATTCCAAAATATGCTAAACTGTATCACTTCTAAAAATATTTCAAAAGAGAAATCCATAAAACTCCTTATGTTTGTACCTGGCCTTACTTATTTTCAATTTCCAGAAGATAGATTTCTCTCAATACCATCTACTTTTGTATCTCAAAGTACAACTATGCCCCCATTTTAATGATGAAATACTAATTAATCAGAATTTTCAAAAACTTTGAAAGCATATACGTTAACAACTGCAAATTTAAGTTCTATAAAGACTTATGATCAATTGTAAATATAACAACAGGGCAGTCAATTTTAGTTTCATTTCTACTTTTGCAGTGCTAGGGATCAAAACAAGGGCCTTGTGCATGCAAGACAGGAATTCTACCACTAATCTGCAAATCCAGGCCAGTACAGTCACTTTTAATGCACACAATGATAGTGACAGTAACTATGTGTTTGCCATGTTCCAGGCAGTGCAGTGAACAGTGAATTATTTCAGAATATTCCTATTCAAGATAATTTTGATGGTGTAATGTAAAAGTCCAGTCTAGATAAAAACACGTTACAAAGTCTGAAACTTTGAAGAACCATTACACAAATTAAGGCACACTGTCATCCAACAAAAGGCTTCAAAAGAGTTCACAACTCAAAATTATGACCAACCAAAAAACAATTTTAACATAAGAGAAGTCAACTGATAAATGGAAAAGAATTACTATTCTCAGTTACTTGAGCTAAGAGAACTGCTGCACTGTAATTTTATGAGTATGTTTTAAATCAGGGGTCAGCAAATTACAGTCCATTGGATGTTTCTGTAAATAAAATGCTGCTGCAACACCATAATGTCTGGTTTGTTTACATACTGTCTAGGTTTGCTCTTGCAGTACAATGCAGAATTGCAGAGTTGTAAGAGAAATTTAATGGCTGGTGAAACCTACTGCATTTACTCTTTGGCCCTTCACAAGAAAAAAAAATCCGTTGACCTTTGTTTCAAATAATTAAACACAAAGGAAGGAATACAAAAATAAGAAAAAAGCAGGACACTGCTATAAAAGAATAGTCAGATTTTAAATGGAACCAGATAGAAGTTGGATACAGCAAAAAAAAGCATTACTGAGTAATGATGCTACAAAGATAGAATAAGACAAAAATACAGGGAGTGTAATAAGTGGTCAGGGTGAATATCTATAGGAGTTTCTCTATGATAAGATATTTGAATAGTGGGGTGATATTTGAATAGTGAATGGCTGAAATATTTTAATATGTGTTCTCAGAAGAAATAATACACCAAATCTCAAGAAAGACAAATATTCATTCCTCTATCAATGCAATGAAATCTCCAAAAGCAAAAAGAGGTTATTTAATGTCATTTTATTTTGAACAAAATATAAATTTTCTCCACAGGGATGGCAATGACATGGACAGAAAATATCAATAAATAACAGATGAGAGAGGCCTATCTGCAAAGAGCCAAAAGAAAATAAATGGCAATTTGGAATTTCATCTGTAGCTACATCTCTTAAAAATGGCAATGACATGAAAATATTTTCAGTATCCAAAATTAAAATTATATTCCTTAGAAAATCTTGCTGAAATAAGCAATAGTAGGTGTTCTTAGTAAATCAATACTATCAAAGAAGAATCAATAGGGTCACAGAAGCAAGGATGAACTGAAAGACTACTAGATATAATTGCTCTAAACAAACAATAACTGTAAAAATAATATTATGACTGATGGCAGTTAAAGTAGAAATAAAATATTTAACAATAATTACATGCAAAATGGGATGATGTATTGAAATGTGATAATTAAAGACCCTGTCAGGACCATAAAAGACACATGGATTAATATATTATGTTGTAGGTTCAGGGATTTAGCTCAGCAGTTCGGTGGCCTGCCTTGCAAGCGCAAGGACCCAAGTTCAATGCCCGGTTCCAAAAAAATATATATATATATGGCTGTAAAAATTTTATAGATAGTCTTGGAAGAAAAGAAAAAGAATTATTATTTTCATATAAATAAATGGAAGAAAACTGTATGAACCCACTGGCAAGCATAAAGAAGAAAAACTAAAATAAATTTAAGTCTCACAGGAAAGATGAAAATTAGAATATAAACAAAGAAATACAAGATATCTAAAAGAAAAGTGATAACATCATACAAGATAAACAAATGTAAAAACATTATTGGCAGCAAGTACTCCTTAAATGTTTAAGAAATAATTCCTAGAATATATAATAGCTTTGAACTTGCATTCTTTTAAATAATATTTAAATGTAACACTTAGAGAACTAAAAATTTAACATCACAATTATACCAGGAAGTCTTCACATATATTATAAAAAACTGATAGATAAAATTTAAAATTATTTTCAGAATGCAGAGGATTTTAGCAGCTCAATAATTACTCTTGAAACAATGGATTTAAGGCCTGGGGATTTAGCTCAGTGGTGCCGCTGCCTGCCTCACAAGCACAAGACTTGAGTATGATCCCCAGTACAAAAAAAAACAAAAAACAAATCCAAAAAATACTGAAACAATGGATTTAATATTGTTAATAATTTAATACTGTAGTGAGCCATTAAAAAAGCAACTTTTTTCCAACAGTCAAGGAACAGAAAGGAAAAATAAATCACTGCTGACTAGTGAGTCTCAATAAACAACGAATAATTACAAAACCTATCTCTGTTCAAAGAGAAACAGGTATCAAAACACAAAGACAGTGACTCTTAACTGTCTTCCTGCCACATGTAATATATATTTGAATGTTCAAAAGCATATTTTTTAAGTAACTCACAAATTAAAGGAAGTGTATGTGTATATGTGTGAGTGTGTGTGTGTGTGTGTGTGTGTGTTGTGTGTGTGTTTGTTCGTTGCAGTATTTTGGTTTTGATTTTTTGAGAAAGGGTCTCATTATATAGTTTAGACTGGCCTTGAACTCCTGGCAATACTCCTGCTTCAGTCTCCTGAGTGCTGTGATTGTAGGCAGGAGCCACCATGCCTGCTGGAATATGTTTTTGGTGGAAATTTAAGATATAATGCCAACATTTGAAAAATTCTTCTCAAATAGTTTTAAAGGTAAATTGTAAATATTGGAAAGTAGAAAAATAATTTAAAATTTAGGGGTTAAGTGGTCAAATCATAAAGTTAAAAAAAATCGAATAAAACCTTTAAAAAGAAAGGAAAATTTACCAGTAGAAATTCATGAAATTGAAAAAAACAATGAAACTCATGAATAATAAAAATGCTTTGTGTTTGTTTGGTTTTGTTTGAGACAGGGCCTTGCCAAGTCCCTTTTGTTCAGTGGGCTTTGGCCTCCCCTTCCCAGAGTGCTGAGATATAAGTATATGCCACCACAAAGGTCGTTTTTGTTGTTAATTAAACTAATAAAATAGATATATCGATTGAAAGATGACACAAAAGTGACTAGGAGTGAAAAAGAGAGACATATTACTGGATACAGTACATATTTAAGAAGCAGATATAATTTAAAACAGATTTTAAAGAAGTATTTAAAAGAAGCTTTTATTGGATGAGGGGAGTGTTGGGAAATTGACAATAAATGTAAAACTTCTGAAATATATGCTATGACAAGCAATCTGAGAAATTGGGCTGTTGCTATTACCATTTGGTGTGTTTCAACTCTTTAAGCCTATCGAAAAAAAAAAAAGAAGTGTCAGAGAGATACATAGTCTTATGAATAAGCCAAACAATCTATTTAAAAAATGTCCACCTAAGCAAAAATATGTTTTATAATTTTGGAACAAAGAGAAATGTTCTGAATTTGTTGTCACGGAGAATGATTGATTCAATTTTAATTATCCTTACGTTCATATGATTTTCTTATCTCATTAAAGCTGGCAGTTCATTCTCCCTATCAGTCTCGGAGAAGGAAAGAGACATCGTCCTATATAGTGTCTAATTTCCAGATGCTTTGCACGGAGCAGCGACGGCGAGCCTTTTAGAGCTCTCAAGGATACAAACACCTGCTGCAGCACGCATGCTAGAGCTTAGCCACCACTGGCTGAGAGCACCTGAAGCAGTTGAATCTGGGCACAGGAGACGGGGAAGCGGCCACTGCGGAATGGCCACGTGAACTGCACCTTACACCACCTAAGACTGACGTCACCATAAAAACTGTGCGAATGCGTCTGACCAGTATCAGGCTAATTCTCTGTCATTTGGGCCAAAGGGAGTTTTAATATCAGCAGATAAATAAAAGCTTCAGATTCCCGAGCGACTATTGATCACAGGGAGTCCAATGACTCCGAAGCTCATGTTTCCAGAAGAGAAAGCAAAAGAGTCATATGTAAGAAACACACACAGAGACGAAGCCACGCACGAAGGAAGCAGCACACGTGGGAGGCAGACCATATAGCAGAACAGCCCAGACAGAGTTCCCAATCGAAGTCTGCTTTCAGTGCCTCAAAGAAACTGGAGAGAAGGGATTCGGAAGCGCATCTCAGAAGAGAGGGATGAAGTTCAAGGAGAAAAAATATGTCAGAAGATAAAATCTAATCATAAATAAGTGGAATCGACACAAACTTCACAAATGAAATTGTCTAGAGAGTCTAATGTAGTGCTCCGAATCCATTAAAACATGGTACTAGAGTTAAAAGTTACTGCTATTATAGCTCAAATATAAATGCTATCAACCTTGATGTTTAAAAATAATAAAACATGGAGGTAGATGAGTCTGTGAGCATAATTATTTCCCACTTTTATAATACATTGTCCAAGTTTGAATAGTTGAAAAGCCAATGAGCTCTTTTTCATTTTTTTTATTTTAATGTTTTTGGAGGGATATAAATTAATCGTGAAATAATGTTTAGAATTTTGGGCTTTTAGTTTTACTTCTGTTTCTTATTTACCCTAAAATTAATTAAACTTAGTACTTTTACTTAAAATGGTATGACTATAAGAGGACATCTGG